AGGAAAATAAATATTTTATAGGATTTTAGGCTTTATTCATCAGAGAAATTATGACTTCTGCATTATGTTTTCTCATACCCAATAGAAGGGACATGTACACGTGCTTCTGTACATACACATTGTTTGTATGTATATGTATACATACACACAATGTAGTCAACAGCTTCAGGCTACTGTTGCATAGCAAAGGAACTGACAAGCACCATGTCATGCTCTTCACCAGCCAGAGCTTTGTACCTGTTTAGCACACCAGCCTGCATGCATTTTTCAGAAGGCAGGCTCTTTTAATCAGTCTAACTCCACATAAGAAATCCCATTTTCTGAATGTCTTGATATTCCAAAGCCTTTAAATCTGCATTTCTCAATCTTTGCTGGCCCGTAGGCAAAGCTACTGACCGAGAACCACACATGGACAACATCACAGTTTATTTTCCTGGCCAGCCTGTTTAAATTTTTAATTTCCTGTAGCAGCAAGGAAGGAGAAAAACTAAACAAAAAGAGAAGAAAAAGAGGGTCACTACAAGACTTTCCTGAACATAACTAAACAACAGTGGTATCTTAGAAAAGATGAAAACTAAATTAGTAGGGGAATGGAAAACTTCAGATTTAATTTCAAGTTTGAAGTCAAATTAAATCCGTATCTTGACTCCAGATTACCCACTCTCTTGCCCTAAGGCAAAAGAGCATTTCTGAGGGCAGAAGGGGAAGGCAGAAGAGGACAGTTGCCTATCAATCACTCTCAGCATATTCACAGAATCACTTTGTTTTCCTCAAAGGAAATGGCCCTGTCTAAGCCTGCATCAAGTCAGGAGGCTTTTTTGAGTCTTAGAAGTTCCTGTGTTGCTGCTCTGACGGAACAGGGGAAACCAGTGACTTCAGGGAAAAAAACAAAAGCTGTGTCATGCGGAACAGAACCTGCAGTGACCCTGCCTGTCAAAACTAGCAGCAGTTGAACTGTTGCCCTTCTCTATGCTTAGAACTCATTTACCTTCCATAAAACACAGCAGCTATTTCATTGGAGTTGACCTCTAAAGCAGTTTGTCCAGCTTGATCAAGCAGACCACACCAGAAGCAAGCATGTAAATAAGCATTAAATAAACAAGTGCTTCAGAGCTAGTCAAATTCTCCTTTTCTAGATATAACAAAACACAGGCAAGCCAGCTTTGGAGTTACAGAGCAGGGTTGCCAGATCTTTCTTGTGGTCCTCATCCTGTACTTCCTACCCTACCCTCTAGTCCCTGTAGTTACCAACTCCCTCAAGCCAGATCTGGCAGATGTTGCCTGTTGATCCACAGTATATTTTACAACGATGAAACTCATTCATAGCAATAGTGAAGTTAGCTACTTCATGTAGCAAAGTGTTACACATGGAAACAAAAAACCAGCTCAGCTACAGCAATCATTTATTCTAAACCACAGCCTCTTTCCACTCTCCAGCAGCTGAAGACGGCCATCACAATTTTTCAGCCTCCACTTGGTCAACCCGCTTCTTCAGTCAATGGAGCAACTGAGATAAGACTATTCCCAGTCGAGCTTTCACCATGATGTAGACCAGATGACAGAACTAACGTCAACCCCAGTTTGGCAGTGAATTGTAAAAGGCTTTGAAGAAGCAGCCAGAAAAGACTACAAAGCTTGGCATGCTCACAGTGTAGCTAAAACATAGTTAACAAACCTTCCACTTCACAGGACCTAGGTCAAGAGGTGGTTCAGTTCCATCTGCATCACTGATGCAGCAAATGATATATATACAGGGCTTTGCTATTTTGGTTTTCTGGTCAGTTCCTTTCTTTGAAGAACTGTAATGTAAAAGCTTTCCAGAGTGACCTGCCATTTGATTTAATGAAGATTTGCCTCAGTAACCACAATCTTAAGAATATATTCAAGCACATAAAAAAATCCACAAACGCTGAGCTCCACTGGAAAGCCAAGAGAAATTTCAATTCTTTCCAGGATGGAAATCATAGTGTCTACTTTTGTACCATTCCCATAATTCTCTCAAAAGATTACATATAAAAGTTGTAATACAGAAAATGAAGCAGAAGCTATTAAACAGCTCACTGATGAGAACTCAAAGCTTTTCTATATGAAATTAAACAAAAACAGCATCTTTTAAAAATCAAGTATGTTTTCAGTAAACTGCAAAAGCGTAACAGTAAGACATCTCTGAAACTGCCTCAGTCTGAGCAGGCACTGGACATACAGGGCTTGTATGCAAATTACAATGTTACCAAAGCTTTTTAAGTTGACTGTAAGTAAATTTACATATGATGAAATCCCTGAGCAGCTGAATTTTAATGTCACCTTAATCTGGAGATACAATGAGTTTACAGAGTTTGTCTTGTTCTTTAAGCTTGTCTGTGAGCTTTAACTTTTGACAGGAAATAACAGTGCTCTGGTAATTGTGAGGCAGCTTGAATTTGGCAAAAGCATCACAAAAGACAATGAAACTACATACCCAGGAACTAAATGAAGTTGAATTCTCACTTCAAATTTGTTGGAGAAGGATATGTGTCGTGGTTTAAGCCCAGCCGGCAACTTGGAACCACGCAGCCGCTCGCTCACTCCCCCCCTTTTTCTTCCTCCCCCCACTCCCGGAGGGATGGGGAGGAGAATCGAAGGAATGTAACTCCCATGGGTTGAGATAACAGCTCTCCAGTAACTAAGGTATAATACAAACCACTACTGCTACCAATAATAATGATAAGAGGAATAACAAGGGAAAAGGACACAACCGCTCACCACCCGCCGACCGATACCCAGCCCGACCCCAGCAGCGATCTGGGCCTTCCGGGTAACTCCCCCCAGTTTCTATACTGGGCATGACGTGCTGTGGTATGGAATAGCCCTTTGGCTAGTTTGGGTCAGGTGTCCTGCCTCTGCTTCCTCCCGGCTTCCCCTCCTCTCTGGCAAAGCATGAGACTGAGAAAGTCCTTGGTCAGAGTAAACATTACTTAGCAACAACTAAAAACATCGGTGTTATCAGCATTGTTCCCAGACTGAAAGTCAAAAACACAGCACTGCACCAGCTACTAAGAAGGAGAAAAAATGACTGCTGTAGCTGAACCCAGGACAATATGTTTCTCATCAGCAATACAGAATATGTATCAGTAATCAGGATTTAAATAACACCCTTACCTTTCTATTTCTATTTATCAAAGGGACTTATGTTGAGGGGAAGGGATAGAGACAAGACACAATGCTTTCTGTGAAGCATTGTGCTGTATTTCTTCTCCTTTGACCCTTGCTTCCTGCTCCACTTACCCCTTTTCTGTTCACCTTCAACACAACAGTAAAGAAAGTCTCAGAGAAGCCAATTAATTACAAAGACAGTCCTGGCTACAATTAGGAGTTCTCCCTCCATCTACGCTTGTCTAAAGGCAAACATTTAATGCCAACACATGCAACACCTGGTATTCTACACAGAGCCTACTGCACAACGATGAATTCCTGGATCTAAACCAGTACCCTTTGTGAGCCTTTCTAAACACAAAGAATCAGCGAGTTGTCAAAACTGAACTACATGCATCCCAGAAGAAAGAGGTAGCAGCACTAAGTGTAACATATACTACGCAATTTCCTCCTAACGGCAGCATAGCCAGTTGACTCAGGTCTATCTGTCATGCATTATAAAGCCAAGCTGCTCCTTAGCTAATGAGTGCAAAGTTTTGTTTGTGATGTTAGTGTACTTTTCCCCCTGATATGAATATTTTATACATTTTTTTCTTTGCAATGCATTTAACTTACCGTCATGGTTTAAAAAAAAAAATGGGTTTACAGGTAATTGCTGACTTCCAAGAAGGAGACAAAAAGATTATTTTTTTCTCCTTCTGTGCTTACAGAAACCTCTGTGGGCTTATAACAAAATCAAACAAAAGAGGGCAGATATTCCTTGTTCTAATTGGCCAGTCAGGTTTTCCAACAAGCAGTTTCCAACAACTAAACTGTATTGTGCAAATACACAACAATACAGCAGCCAAGGGAAAGCTTCTTCCAGAGCTCCTTCTCTACTAGCAGCCTATTGCCTTCCCGTATGACATCTCCTACAGCAAGAGCTCCTGACTCAAAAATCAGGTCTGCTGCTTAAACCCTCAGTGAAGTCCTTGCAGGCTTTAGATTCCTTAAGAGACATTACCAGTTACCATGAATTTCTTTATTAACTAATAACTTACAACCCAGTCTAATTTTCTTCATTCATAGCTGTATTAAGTTGGACATCTTTTCATGTCCATGTTCATCTTGAGAAGGGAAACACCACCACAGTGGATGCACCCTTTGGAAAAATGCAGAAAAGCAAGAAGACAGACTATGGATAGGATATTTCACACGAATACAAAGAGGTCTATTACTAATGCCAACAGTTTCTGGAAATTATGGCAGAGCTCATGGTCCAGGGATTGCTAATTGCTAGGCATCAGCAGCTCTATTGCTAGTTTTTTGAGAGCATCTTTGTACAATAGCTGAAGGCAGAACACTATACAAAAAAGACAATAAGCCTAAACTACTGCATTTAATTCATGTGTCTTAGAACCGAAATTACTAAATCCATGAAAAATTATCCCTCAACCTGCAGAAGAACAGACTGAGAGAAAAGACAATAAAGACGGGGGGGGGGAATAAAATGGAGTGCAACAAAACCCTTTCACACCAAGGGATAAAGTCTCAGTACAAAAGCAGTCAAAGCACTTTTTCATTCTCTTAAAGCCCAATGAGTAATGAAATTGAAATGCTGAAGAGGGGCAGTGTGCTGAGCAGAACTGCTGTTACCATCCAAAATTATCACTCAGCAAAGCTCATTTTAACTATCAGTGCAACAGATCGTCTCTTCTTCAAGCTGTAAATTCAGACATTGAGAAAAGCTAAGATCAGTAAAACTCAGAAGATACACTGAGGGAGGACTGTTTAATATCATAGTCACCCTGACAGACAGTCCCCAGTAGCTGGAAAGGCAAGTAACATGTTGCAACAAAATGATTATCAACTATGTAGTTCATACTCACAGCACCAAAATAGGGGGCCTGATGTACAACACCTGTGCCTTCCTCCTCCTTCACGTAACTGTCTACCACCACAGCAAAGGCACCTTTATCTTTGTACTGTAACACAAAAATACATTTTTCATATATATATATGTATAAACATATATAGCAAAGCAGAACTCTTAAGAACATGGAAGAGCCACTAGCCACCTGCAAGAGTAAAGAACTGCATCAGAAATAAGTGACACAGTAAAATGTGACATTCCTAACATTAATAATTTCCTAGGCCATGCATTTCATTTAAACAGTGCCAAATGTGATTAAACCCAAGACCTTTCTGGAAGGCCTCTTAGTCAATTACTCTTCAAGCCACAGATCTTCACACAGTTTTGTGCTTAACAGACTATAAATCAATATGCTCCTTTGGGTGAGGATACAACCAAGAAAGCAACAAGGATTCTTTATACAGAAATCCCTGCACTTTCATATGCCCACTGTACCTTCTAATTTCAAAAAAGAAGTTTGCCTGTACAGTCATGTGTGTTCTTTATTTCCTTCAGAGAGTAAGTTGCTAAGTAAAAAATTGCCAGGAAAAGATCCAACAATTTAATTTTCAGTGTATTCAATATGTAGGCAATAAAGAGATATTTTCTATTCATTAATACAGAAGTAGTAAAAAAAATTGCTGCAGTCACAGCTGAACCAAGTATGTTAAAAAATATTAGGCTTGGCTTGTTCTGAAGAGGGATATTTTGAGATAAGACATACATTCTAAAAAAACCAAACCCAGAAGATGCCCATCTGCTCCTCAGCAGTACAGCAGGACTCAAAGAACAGATCCATTCCAAACCTCTACACCTGCAGGCCCATTTTTCAATTCAGCTGTGGTTTGACCTTTCCCTGGAAATAACAACTCCTGCTCCCTACAGAGGTTCTCTCACCTTTGCCGACTTCAGCACATGCTTCAGAACAGATGGTAGTCACAAATGACCAAATCCCTTACAGGAGGTAACAGCTGCTTGTCCAGCAGTACTATAATCCACTTCAACTCTTTGAAAAATTTAATCCATTTTTAATCAGGCTTTTAATATATAAATTCTCTACCCCTTCTCTTATTCTATTATCTGCAGTGCTGTTAGCTACACTAGACTTATGCAGTGCTGAAATGCTGCACAGGATGACATCCATAAAGAACAGATATATCAGTAGTTATTTTAGCAAAGGCTTTTAACTCTTCAGTGAAAATCACTACATGTCTGCAACTGTTATCCACGAAGTCATTCTCCTGTGAGAACAAAATCTGGGGACTTAATAGGCAGACAACAGAAGCTCACCAGATGAGAAGTTCAGAGCCTGTTGCCTACTCATTAACATGTATTGGAAGTTTCTCTGCAGTCTAAAATTGAACTACTATTTATGACTGAATTCTTACTCTGGGTATATTTAAAACTTAAGGGGAGAAACATAGGAAAAAGTAAACTTGGTTTTTCAACCCTTCACTAGGACTTTGAATAATTTAATACAACCTGGGGTTTGTTATTAGAACACAAGATTTCTATAACACAAACAAGGAGTGCTAAGAATGGGTTTTAATTTTCTCTTTGTATCCTGTATCACACTCCAAACTTGTTCTTACCTGAATAAAATATTCAAAGAGTGGTTTATATTTCTTGCCTTTAAGAGCAATGCCAGGAAACCTGAAGAGAAGGATTTACATGAACACAAATTAACAACTAGACAATTGCTTTTCATTTCCATTTTCCCCCATCCCTAACAGCATTTTACTTCACAAGGGGGGGGGGGGGGGGGGGTGCG